ATCTGGGTTTAGCACAGTAGTCCCAGGCTTTCCTTCCCAATGTTCAAGGCAGGCCCCAAATTCATTTTCTTTACTGACAACTTCCCTTAAGTGATTCAACCCCTACAATCAACTGTAGTGTCCCACAGGCACCAGCTCCAAGCCACCCTGCTCCCAGCTCACATGTCCTGTCCTATTTTGTCTATTAAATTAAATTAATAGTTAATTTAATTTTTGGAAGGAGCAATCCTCAGAAACCTCCATACTTCTGGTGAGGCCAGAAATATCTCAAGTAGTGTGTCATTTCCAGTCTCTGATTACTGTGCCATAAACAGGTTTCTTGGAGCTCTTAGTCTTATTGTGAGAACTAGACCTGAAATATTTTTTTAGCAAAATATAGTATTTGGTACAATTCTATTTTTATAAAATAATTTCTCTGTAGTTACCCATATTTCTATATGTATAGATGGATAGAAAGGTGCCTAGAATTTATGTTCATCTGATATTAACTATGGCTGTTTCCGAATGATGGGATTGGAAGTGATTGATTCTTTATAATGAGCCTGTATTGTTTTTACAAGAATGTGGTTTTTCTGAAGCAAAAATGAAAGAAGAAAAATAAGTAGACTGGAAGCAAATATTCTAAGATGTTAATAGTGATTAGTTTAGGGTGGTAAGTATATAAGGTATTGTTATTTTCTTTTTTGTATGTTTATTTTTAAACTTAAAAAAAAATTCACCACTTGACATTCATCAGTGTAAATGTTTTAGCAGCAACTACCATTTGCACCACAAGCCCTGCCATCTAGATTACACGTGATAAGGCAACGCAGTATGACTCCACATCTCTGCTAGTACAAAGTTCACTGTAGGAAATAACATCAACATTGGCATTTCTGCTTATACAAGCAGGATGACTACTTTGAAGTTAAACTTTTGGTCCAACAGGAATCACATGCAGTTTTTAGGTAAATATTTCCAATATGCATTTTAGACAGACCAGAATAATCCTTTTCCAGCAAAGTCAAGTTCCACTGCAAAGAATACCACTAAAGAGCTCTAATGGAAGATTGGATAACCCACAGGTATAATTTACTGGTCTGGCTGTGAGCAGTGTCTCTGGTGATCGTTTTTATAATTATTGCCTTTAAGGAAAGGAACTAGCTCTGATGCGGTGGCTTGGAGCAGCTGAGTTATACCTGCTTGATAAGCTTCCTGTCCTGCCATCAAGCGGCAATTATCCTTTAGCTCACCTCTTCTTTCCAACAAAATCATCTAAACAAGAACTACCCAAGCTAGCTACCAAAATTAAAATTGGGGGAAAGCATCCAAGAACAGAACAAAAGGAATGGCAGTAGTGATGTGTGTATAACCCTTTCTCCCAGAACCTTTTTCCCTTATTAATTTACCCCCAAGAAGCTAGGCACAGCTGTTTTAGCTCTACATCCTCAAGCCTGGGAATCAAATTTCTAGCAGTGCATTCAATTTTACATTTCATTATAACTAAATAATTTAGAGACATCTTTAAATTTACCAGTATGATACCATCACTTCTTCCATCTTCTCTAACTCAAAATGTTAGTCGTTTTCAATTCTCACTTTCTTCTCCACTACATCATTACTTACCCCATTACCTCTCTAAATTCTATCTTTAACATTACCTTTCCCTCATTTAAATAACCTAGAATAGATCCTGGATGCCTGGATTGAAACAACTGTCTCTTAGAAAGCTTCCCTTCAATTCAGATCTCCTTCATTTCTACACAAAGAAGAATTATCTTCCACCAACAGCTGTTTCCAGTAATAAGAAAGCTAAGTTCTGTGACTAAGCTAAGCATCCCTTCTGTTTGCCAAGGCCTACAATAGTTCCTAGGTGCTAGGCGTATCAAATTGAAATTTTCTAATATTGTTCATTATGTCCTTTACGAACTGTGCCGAGTACTCTCAACTGTCTGCCCACATTTTTCTATACATTCAGATGTATATTCTCTATTCATTTAGTCTGACAACCATGTATTCCCAGGATTAATTAATTTCTTGTTTGTATTCTTTACCACTATGGTAGCAAATATTGTCCCCTGTATTCTCTCCTTTCACAATAGATTGTCTAACTTTCGAATGGGCGCGCGGCTGTCCAGTATAACGACTACATTTCTCAGCCAGCTCTTGCAGCTGGAGTGTCCATGTGACTAATTGCTAAATAGTAATATGTAAGCCAAAATGTTAGGAGGCAACTTCAGTAAATTTCTTTAAAGGGAAGGGGCACTCATATTTTCAATCTCTCCTTCCTACTGGCTAGAATGCAGATGTGATGGCTGGAACTCAAGCAGACGTCATGGATCATCATGTGGAAGTTACATGCTGAGTTTGGTGGAGCAACTAGACAGAGCCTTGGGTCTCTGACATCAAGGACAGCCATGTCAGTCCTAGAATATCTAGTTCTGGATTATTTTTAGAAGAGAGAAAATCCTATTATGTTTAAGCTGCTACCATTTTTGGGGCCTCTATTATGACACTTGTGGGTGTGCCTAATTCTTAACTGATCCACCCATCTCCATGTGTTCAAGGTATTTCTTCTGGTCCAGCAAGAATGCTCCCCCAATTTATTTTCCTATTGTTCCCTCCAAACCAAATTGTCAGTTTTCTTTCTTCCTTTAAAATACACCTTCAGATGCAAATGCCTACATGGAAATGGTTAGTATTGCTAAGCTTACATAATCCATTATTCTTTTTTGAACACAAACACACACGTCTATATATCTAGTATGCATGAATACATATAGTGATGATAAATGAAACTTTAAAATAATATAACAGATTTTTAACAAACCTACTCCAGTTTTTACTTCCAAACATTCACTATTCCCTTTAAATAGTACTCTTACTACAGATCCACTTCAGTGATATCACTGTTCATCAAAACTTTTTGAACATCTTTTTCAAAGCAGACTGAAAGCCCATCACTAGATATAATCTCCATGAAAGCAGAAATACACCCAATTTGCTTACCAGGCCTAGGATAGTGTCTGGTATATACTGAGTGGGTATTCAATGCATGCTTGTGGTATGAAAAAATAATTACTGTAGCAAAATGTTTTCATTTGAAGGTAGATTGATTTTTTTAAAAACACCCCAAATTCATTCAGAGCTCAGTCTAGTGAAGAAAATGTGTCATAAAGCTGGGAAAAATCATTTTGGGTTCTTTAAAAAAAGGAGTACTATAAAGCAATAAATCAGATTTCCTTGTACAAATCTAAAAAATTGCTCAGGTTGAGCTACTTTAGTAGTGATTTAGCAACTCATTTCCTAAATTAACAGTTCAGTATGCCAAGCTTCCACCAGTTTCAGAATATTTGCACCCCTGTTCCCTCTGCCTGGAACACCCCAGATACACACAGACTGCTCCTTGACTTCATTCAGGTCCCTGTTTAGGTACCCACCTCCTCCAGAAAGCCTTCCCGCACTACCTAATTTAAAACAAAGCCATCCCTGTCACTCTCTGTCCCCTGACCCTGCTTTCTTTTTCCTTTGGGACTTATCACTATCTGACATAATGTTTTATATCTATTTTCTTTTGTGTGTTTAATATTGGTCTCTGTCACTAGAATATCTGCACCGTGATGAAGGGATTTTGTTTTATTCACTGCTATAGCTCCAAATTATTGCAAGATATCTAAATTTCAAATGAATAATTCAATAGATACATGTTTGTAATGAAAGGGAAAAGAAGACAGAAAAGAAATGGAAGAAGGAAGACCAAGAAAGGTAACAGAAGCAGCAAAAGGGGTGAAGAAACTCTGGATGAGTCATCATTGGTTACTCTGTTAATCTTTTTTCGTATAGGGTTGAATTTAAAGCTTCCATAAGAAAAATACAGAATGGGTCTCCGTCTCTTTTGGAGACTTATTTCAAAAGAATGGGTACCCTAATGAGAGAAGCCCCACCTCCTTTGGAAGCATCGGGGTGATATTTACTATTATAATTACAATGGCCACCTCTTTCACTGTCTCGCTATCTCCCCCAGGCCACACAAGTACAAACTGAGTGAATTTTTGAGAACTCTTGACTGAGTCAGAGAAGTATTTTAATGATTTTTAGCAGGATTCATTTGTGTTGGTACGACTACTACTAGCACTTTTAAATTTCCACCCTTAACTGACATTTGGAATATCTCCTCATATCAAATACCCACAGCTCTTCCGGCTATTGCCCCATAGAGTTGCATGATAAGCTAGGAGAAAGGCCTCTGAAAATGCTTCTAACTATATGTCACATCTACTGTTTGCCTCATGGCACAAAGTTTAGTTCCTTTCAAGGGACAGTAGATATGTCACATTTCATTAATGCTTTTGCTTCCTCAAACTGCTCATTCCTTATACACAACTTACCAACAGGGTTTGTGCTGGAGAAGTTAGATCAAAATGACATTCCTTTATGTTTCAGCAAATTTAGTAGGAAAGATAATTGCATTTTCTTGCTGTTTTCTATTATAACATTATAAATAAATCTCTTTTTTTAAAAAGTTCAACAGTCCAGGTTTAAAGTTTCAGGCAAAGGAAAGGATTGTATAATACAAGGTATTATCCTAGAAGAGTTTGAGAGCAGTATCAGAATTTTGAGGCACATTTTTTTAAATGTCAGTTTCTTGATTTATAGAATCAAACAGTACAAATGCACACATACCCAGACCCCTAGTCTCATAAAGTTTCCTTCATATTCCAGTTATAATTAAAATCTTAAAACTGAATCATGATGCCAAATAGGGTAGTCACTAGTTTAATACCTTAGAAGTTCAAAAATATTTCATTTCAACCACAGACAACTGCATCCAAACAATAGTCAGAAAATTTTCTACTGAATATTATTCTTCATCTTTACATTCTCTACAGTATGATGTCTAGTACAGTAATTGTAGTATTAATATAGCATTAATACTTAGTACTAAAACCTAATGTTTTGTATTTTTTAGTCGTTCTTAAATGATACCTATTGCATTTTAGGGCAATGTTGATTATACGCACTTTTATGATGTAGCCTTGCAACTTTAAGAAGCTTACAACTCTTCTCTGAAGCAGCGGTTTCTGGTGTGTGGGCAGAAGCACGTGCTGTTGGTAAGTTACTTGTACCAGGTAATACTTGAGGAAATGTCACGGAGTAGGAGGTACGCTGTCTAGTCCGATACGCTACTTTCCTCTCTTTATGCAGCAATTGTTCATCCATCAGCAATGTTATGACTTGCTTTGACTTTTGCCGGATATGATAACCTGAAAAATACATTGAATTTGCTTATGAAAGAAAATATTTATTAAGGCTACAATCAATTTTTATTCTAAAGAAAATTAGGAAAAAATGAAAACATAAGCGAACTGAAAAAAGCTGTAGCAAATGTGAGGGAAGCCTAAGTTTCACTGTAATTGCCAGTGTTCTCCTTTTCTTAGACTTTAAGAAGTAAAAAAATTCTATCATACATAGCATTACATTTTCCACTTTAAATATGCTATTGGGCTTTCCTTCTAAAAGCAATATATACTTTGCAATAAATCAAATATAGGCATACAAAGAAGAGGAATGAATTAGTCCTGGATGTATTGACCTAGACGTATGACCATGACACTTGGCTAAATATTTAAAGTAATATGCACACTATGATTCAAATCTGTAAAACAGAGGGGAAAATAAACTATTATATATGACAGAGGAGAGAGACATACAAAGAAGGATAGATGGGTGGATGGCTGGATGATGGATGGGCAAGCAGGCAGCCAGCTATGTACCCACAATGCTGTTCATGTCTGCTACCTGAGAGGGGCACAATTGGGGTAGGACAAGAGAAGGGATAGTAGTTGGATTTTCTTTGGCACAGCACAACTTGAGGTCACTAGTAGAGTGCCACAGCCCAGTCTTAAGACCAAGATTCTAACAATGATGCTGTCTTTAACCATCTGTGCAACTCCAAGCTAAATTAGGTGGTGTGTCTGGACCTGAGTTTCCTATCTGAAAACCAGCACAAGCACACCTATTCAGTTTAATTCACAGATAAAAAAGTATAGTCATTCACATATGTGGTATTACTATTACTCTGAACCCTCTCCCATGAGATATGATGAAGGAAATCACTTACACCTCCACATCTTGGGACCAACTCATATTAACATTTCATGTCTTCCCAAGCCTTCTTCCAGAAGTAAACTGGAAAGTCCCTAAAAATCCAGTACTATGTCTATTTTGGGTTTCAAGTGTGACAAATTAAAGTGTTAATGTTTCCAAATGTAATTTTCCAGTAGGGGGAGTAATGAGAAATGGGTCAAATTCAGGGTATATTTTAGATGACAGAGGCCAACAACATTATCTAACTCCCGGTTATTTCATTAAGGATTGACATGGATAGTGTCTGAAACCTTTGCTCAAGTTGCCATCTTTTTCAAGGTTGTTTTATCTAATCTCACTTCTTTATCATTTCTTTCTTCCAAACTTTTTATAACTGCTCCAAACTGTATCATTATGGATTTCTTATGATCAGCTTGCAGTGCAAAACAAAAAAGTCCAGCGTTTTGGGTTACCACTCAGTGTCACATGATAGAAGCCTACTGCTGGTCACATCAGCCTTTTGGGACAACAAGCTAGATACAACCTTCCCCTGGATAACTGACATAGCTTGGTTTGGAGAGAGGGAAGGATGATTTGTCTCCCAATTCTTAACTTCGTGGACTGGTGTCTTTCCAGTGGCCCCCTCACCCTCTTTACTCTACCACTGTGGCCACCTTATTCTGCAATCACACCAAGCTCATGTCTCCTTAGAGCTATGTGCTGGCTGTTGCTTAGGCCAGGGACTCTTCCCATGTCCAGACTCTTGATTCCTTCAGGTCTGTATGCAAATGTCACCTCCTCAGAGAAGCCTCCCTTCTGCCCACCTTCTCTAAAATAGCCTCAGCTCATCCCTGTCTGTTCCCTTACCCTGCTTTATTTTTTACCTCAGTATTTATGACTGCCTAATACCGGATTATACATTTGTTTGTTTTCTTGTTTACTGTTGGTTTCCTCTCCTAGAATACAAGCTCCACGAGGACAGAGAATCTCATTCACCTGGTACCTTCAGTGTCTGGAAGAATGACTGGCACATAAGAGATGCTCAATAAATATTAACTGAGTGAATGAACTGATGATAAGTAACTTTCCAAAAAGTCTCAATTTTATCCTTGACCTAGGGCAAGTGGAACTAGATGAGGAAGGATACTGAGTGCCAATTTATGGCTCAGCTGCCTTAGAAAGCTTCTTGGCTTGAAATAATTTCTTACAACACCCCTAATAAGAAAAAGTTAGAACTAGAAATTATGGGACAGATGTGGAATATTCTATTTGGAGTCTGCATGGATTGGTGGGATTTGAGGGCAGCTGCAATAGTTCAAAGGACAAGCAGTTACATGAAGCAGAAAGCCAGCTATAATGACGGATTTCTCCCTGAAACACCAGAACTCTTCCCCTGGGTAGCAATCTGCAGCACCAGGAAGGTCAGGCCACAGCACTTTGTAGAAAATAGGAAAGAAATCCAGGGAGGAATAAAAAAGGAAGAGCAGGCTCTCACTTACCAACTTTACGTCTCCCTGTACGGCCCCGGAAGATGGCTGGTTAGCCAGAGACGGGTAAGATTCCTCAAGGGAGGAACAACCTAAGACAGGCACAGT